ACCTGGTTGCAGACCAATGATTTCATGTTGCAGTGTGCTCCTTATCGGTGATTTCTTCATCTTTAACATTTCTTGTGGCGGAATACGATGCCGATGTGAATGTGGACCAGGGAGAGGGCTGGCCCAGTTGACCAGTGAGTTGGCAGAAGGGTAAAGGCCCTTGGCACTTGCTGATCCTGATAACTTGAGTTCAACCCCTGGGATCCATGTAGTTGATGGAGAGGACAGACTCCTTGCAAGTTGCTCTCTGACCTCTACAAATCCAGTACATAAATAGAATGCAATTTATTTTTCTTTTTTTTTTAAAGCCAAAGGTTGAAGGAGGGTAGGGGTAAAGCAAATGTGAACATGCATGTCTTTAATCTCAGCACTCTGGAAGCAAACGAAGTAGGTGGGTATTTGTGAGTTCAAGGCCAGGCAGGGCTACACAGTGAGACAGACCTTCCTTGTTTCAAACAAAACAAGTTACAAGGGGTCAAAGAGACAGTAGTTAAGAACACTTGCTGAAGCCGGGCGTTGGTGGCGCACGCCTTTAATCCCAGCACTTGGGAGGCAGAGGCAGGCGGATTTCTGAGTTCGAGGCCAGCCTGGTCTACAGAGTGAGTTCCAGGACAGCCAGGGCTATACAGAGAAACCCTGTCTCGAAAAACAAAACAAAACAAGAACACTTGCTGAAAGCTGGGGACACACCTTTAGTTCCAGCACTCAAGAGGCATACAGATCTGAGTTTGAGACCAGCCTGATCTACAAAATGAGTTCCAGGACAACCAGAGCTATTACAGAGAAACTTTGTCTGGGGGTGGGGGGAGGACAACAAAAAACAAAACAAAAGAATGCTTGCTGCTCTTCCAGAGGACCCCCATATCTAGCAGCTCAAAACTACCTGTAACTCCAGCTCCAGGAGATCTGATGTCCTCTTCTGGCCTCCGAAGACACTACTTCAGTGCACAAACTCACAGGTGGACACACACATTTAAACATAATTAAAAGAAAAAAGTAAAATCTTTTAAATAAAGCAAGATGTAACAGAGCCATCTGGCTAGATGGTTCAACAGGTAAAGGTACTTGGCCCTAAGCCTGACAACCTGAGTTTGAGCCCTGGCACCAACATGGTAGAAGAAGAGAACCATCTCCTGAGAGTTGGCCTCTGACTTTGACATGTGTGCTGTGGCATGCACACATATACACACAACACTCAAATAGGTATAAAGGATAACCAAATACAACCCAAGTGTGGTGGCTTAAATCTATAATCTCAGCACTCAGGAGGTAGAGGCAAGTGGACCTCTGTGAGAGGACAACCTAGTTTACAAAGTGGCACTCTGTCTCAGAATGTGTGAGTGAGTGAGTGCACACATATGTGTATATCTGATGGTGAAAAATTAAGTCAGCCAACACTTGGCAAAACAAAATGTGACACTAAATTGTGTCTTCTCCAGAAGTCTCCTTTAGAGACATTACTTCCTCTGACACTTAAGCGTTGGTGTTCCATCTTAGGCCCTTTCCTTCTTTCTCAAATCTCTCTAGCATGTTCTCTCTCTTCTTCCCCCCACCTCTGTCTCTGTTGTCATGTATACACACCCCTACTGCCTGTGCCTGGGATTAAAGACATCTGCCACGGTGCCTGGCTTTGTTGGTATTTTTTAAGTTGCCTAGGCTGGCCTTGAACTCCCTCTGTATCCCAGTAGACCTTGGAGGTTTTTTTTTTTTTTTTTTTTTTTTTTTTTTTTTTTTTTTTTTTTTTTTGGTTTTTCGAGACAGGGTTTCCCTGTATAGCCCTGGCTATCCTGGAACTCACTCTGTAGAACAGGCTGGCCTCGAACTCAGAAATCCACCTGCCTCTGCCTCCCAAGTGCTGGGATTAAAGGCGTGAGCCACCACCGCCCGGCGACCTTGGAGTTTTAATCCTTCCACCTCAGCCAAGTAACTGAGATTACAGGCTTGTGCCACCAGGCCAGATTTTCTTCTTTATACACACACACACACAGAGAGAGAGAGAGAGAGGGAAAGGGAGAGGGAGAGGGAATGGGAAAGGGAGGAGAAGGAGAGGGAGAGGGAGAGGGAGAGGGAGAGGGAGGAGGGGGAGAGAGATTTGTGTGTGCATGTGTACAGGTGCATACATGCAAGTGTCTGAGAAGAAAGTGCTAGCTCCTCTGGAGCTCTGGAGCTATAGTTACACGTGTTTGTGAACTGGGAACTGAACTCAGAATCTTCTGTAAAAACAGCAGGGCACTCTCACCCGCTAAACCTGGAGTATATGCATATGCAGCAACACACTTTTTTTTTTTCCTGCTTGGGATCCCAACTCAGGTTCTGTCTCTCCAACTGCAGTTGTTCCCTCCTACCCCCCGACCCCCTACCACCACCACCTTGAGACAAGGTTTCATTCTAGTCCAGGATGGCCTGGGATTGACTGTATAGCCCAAGATGGCCTCCAACTTGCAGTAGTCTTCCTGCCTCTTAATTCCAAATGCTAAGATTACAGGAGTGAGCAACTCTGGCTGGGTTCTGGGTTGTTTCTGTCTTCAAAAGAAATAGTGACCCAAGGCTTTGGCAGAGGAGTTCGCCTTGCTGCTGCATCCTTACCCCGCTCCCACTCTGGAGGAGAGCGTCTCCAGAGACATTCCAAACAAAAGAAGCCATTTGATCTTCAATTGCCCACATCCCCACTTATCTGATCTGGGGGCTGGCGAAGGAGGACAGCAGGAACTAAGCGTAGCATCCCACACCTTACTAGCACAGCCCTGCAGACTTCCAGAAGGGCCAAGGAAGAATGCGTGGCTATCTCCAGCCCTGTCCTCTGCTCCTGCTGCTGGTTCACAGCTATTGCCTCCCCTCATGCATGCTCCCCAGAAGAAAGGCCCGGCCCGCTGTGAGCTGGTACCTTCACCTCTGATCTAAGTTAGGTCATTCTGAGAAAGGCAGCTAGTACACACTAGTACACTGACAGAAGCATGAACAGGGACCAGTACTCTTTGACCAGCTCTTTGAAGCTGGCTGCTAACGGGTGTGGAAATAACCTATGACTGGTTTCTTACTCTGGGGAAAATGGAGCTGCATGCCTGTCTGTGGCAACGCAAGCCACAGACCTTGTTCATAGGGACGTGCCCTCTACAAACCCTGTGCCCCACCCCCTTTGTATTTTATAGCACTGCAGCTTAGACGTTTCCGAAGCGTACTGTGACTATCAGTCATCTGAGGAGGTCCTCTTGCCCGGGACAAGTTTCTTCTGTCTGCTGACCTCTGGTGGTGAGATTTTGAACTGTAAACTCCCTTCCCAGTTGTTAGCCTGTTGGCAAACGTTAACGCTGGCTGGTACACACTTCTCAGCAATCCGAATTCAAATGTTGAAATACTGTAAACAGTGGAAATTTTTTGAGACATAGTCTATGTAGCCATGGCTGTCCTGGAATTTGCTCTGTTGACCAGGCTGGCCTATGAACTCACAAAGATCCATCTGCCTCTGCCTTCTGAGTGCTGGGATTGAAGGCATGCACCATGCCCAGTATGGAAACCTTTCTACAGCCTATGTAGTTTGCGTTTGTTCTAAGACAATATTGTACAATACATAGAACAATACATAGAACAGAGAATAGAGCCTGGGCTTTGGAGTCATACATACCCAGGTTCAAATCTCACTCTGCTTTTTTTTTGTTTTTTGTTTTTTAAATCAGAATGACTATTGACAGCTCATCTATGCTGAATCTTAGTGAAAAAAATTAGATGATTTTAAAATGCATATTTCCATATGAAATGTAAATAAAACATCCAATAAAAAATTTAAAATTTTTTAAAAAATGCATATTTCTGGCTGTTTTGTAAAACATAGTAATGCTTACTAAAAGATAGCTTCTCAATGGTGGTAATTTCCTCAGTGTTTGAATCCTTAGAAGTGTGCGTGTGTATGTGCTTTGTATTGCTTGTACAAGGGCTCTCTGTAGACTCTAGGTAAGTGCTTATTACCATGCTAATTGTTTTCTTTCTTTGTTATGGCAAAATATATAATAAATTACCATTCCAATCATTTTCTTTTACTTTTTTTTTTGTTAGTTTTGAGGTTTGTTGTTGTTATTGTTGTTGTGTTGGCTTGGTTTGTTTTGTTTTTTTGAGGTTTTTAGTTCTTGAGACAGGGTCTCACTATGTAGGTCTGTCTGTCCAAGAACTATGTGCACTAGGCAGGCTTCAAAGTCACAGAGATCTGCCTTCCTCTGCCTCCTGAGTGATGGAATTCTAATCATTTCCAACATTTTTCTCTTTTTAAAGCTTTTTTTTATTTTAATTTTGGATGTCTGGAGAGATGGTTCAGCTGTTAGGAGCTGTTAGAAGCATGTGCTGTTCTTGTTTTATTTTATTGACTGCATGTATGTCTGTACACCACACACATGCCTGGTGCCCATGGAGGCCAGAAGAGGATGTCAAATCTTTTGGAACTGGAGTTACAGACAGTTGTGAGCTGGCATGTGCGAGAACCAAGCCTGGTTCTTCCATGAGAGTTCCAAGTGCTTTTGATAATGGCGCCATCTCACCAGGCCTACTCTGAAATTTTTCATATCCCTTCTGATTTTTGAGTTTGAAAAATGAGATAGACTTTAGTCGATCTGTGAAGTCTTCTCTGTTCAGGATGCTACAGATCTGAGTTCTCAATCCGTGGGAACCACCGTGGGCAGAGCTGAACTTGCTAAACATTTGACATCTTTCTGAAAATGGGCAGAAGGTTCAGCACCTTCTTCCAAGGTCAGTAAGGGGCAGAGATTCGGAGTTAGTTATCACAGGGTTCTCAGCTGGACTGCCAAGGTCCCTTCCTCCCCTCTCTGCAGAGAAAAAGAGGAGGCAGTTGAAGAAAAGATTGGTTCTCTGCTCCTCCCTTTCTCTCCCTGTTTTCCTCACACCCACTTCTCCCCCACAGCAGCCTTCTCCCCCACAGAGACTGGGATAGGACAGAGGGGGGCGGAGTTGGGGATTGAGGGCTTGGAAGCCCCACAGTGCCCTGTATTTGTAAGAAGCCTTGGCTTGGGTAGCTGTGCTGGTTTATGCTCCTGCTGGCATCCTTTAGCAGGATGATGGGGACACTGGGGCTTTGGACACTGCTTCCTGCAGCTGCACAAGGTAAGTATCTGTAGAGAGGAGTGGGGTCTTTACGCCACTCAGCAAGGGAAAAGGTGTACTCAAAGCAGCAGCCATCCGTTTGAAACAGGCCAGTGGGCTGGATGAGTGAAGAGGGAAGGTAGAACTGCATGTTCCCATGGTGAGGCTCAGACCTCAGGACCCTGCTGACCCAGTGTCCTGTGCCTCTGCTGTACTGACCGGGGATCTAGACATCATGTTTTGTCTATCCTTGGCTGCTATTTGTTTTTGCCTTCACTCCCTTCTTGACTCCCCTTTCTTCACCTTGGACTTCAGTATCCTCAAACAGGAGGACCTGTGTGTTCTTTGAGGCTCCTGGAGTGCGGGGAAGCACAAAGACACTGGGAGAAGTGCTAGATGCAGGACCAGGTCCTCCAAAGGGTATCCGCTGCCTCTACAGCCATTGCTGCTTTGGGATCTGGAATCTGACCCATGGCCGGGCACAAGTGGAGATGCAAGGTGAATGATAAAGTACATGGTGGGTGAGAACTAGGGTAGGGGAGAGGCTAGGGTAGGGGAGAGGTGTCTCTAGGTTAAGGGAGGCAGCGAAGAGGAGGGGGAGAAGTGGAATGTGTAGAGGGAAGATAGGCATGTCAGATGCCTTTGATAGAGAAGGGATTTGTTCTCTGTCCCCAAACCTCATTGAACTCTCTCTCCTTCTCCTCCTTCCCTTAATCCCACCCCTTCAGGATGCCGAGACAGTGATGAGCCAGGCTGTGAGTCCCTCCACTGTGACCCCATCCCTCGAGCCCACCCCAGCCCCAGCTCCACGCTCTTCACATGCTCCTGTGGTACTGACTTCTGCAATGCCAATTACAGCCACCTGCCTCCTTCAGGCAACCAAGGGGCTCCTGGCCCCCAGGATCCCCAGGCTACCCCAGGTAGTAGCCTTCCCCATGGTACTAGAGCCCACAGTGGGCAGAAGCATAGGTCAGGGTGAGAACCAGGGCCAGTTCTCACCCCACCCCCGCCCAAACTTTCCCTCCTCCTGGCCTTGGAAAGTTGGTTGCCCTGGTGACTGGGAGATAAGGGGGCTTGTGACCAGCATGGGGGTGGTTTGGAAAGCAAGCTCTTTGAAGAGAGGAGAGGTTCAGTGCTCACCCACATGATTCTATCCTTGCTCTCCAGGTGGGCCCATCTGGATGGCATTGCTGCTGCTGGGAATGTTTCTTGTGCTGCTGCTGGGTAGCATCATCTTGGGTACTAATGTCTCCCACCCTTCCCTTATGATCACATGACCCTACCCCAAAGGTCCAACCCTTCTCCAGGCTCTGCTGATCCCCCAGGTCTGGGATTTTTTTTTTTTTTTTTTTTTTTTGTAGATCTATATTTTCTCTTGCAAGATGCTCCCTTCCCACTTAGCCCCCTTGACCGGCTCTGTCCTGTGCACCCTACCCTAAACTAAGGCTCTTCGCTTCTTTAGCCCTGCTACAACGAAAAGCCTGTAGAGTGCAAGGTGGATCAGACCCGGAGCCAGGCTCAGGCAGAGATTCCAGTGAGGAGCTCCCGGAGCTGGATGAACTGCGCTTCTCCCAGGTGCCCCAGAGAAGGAGGGTGGGCTCCTGTGGCACTCCCGGAGGTTCTGCTGTAGAGGAAGCCTGGCCCTGGCGCTAGACTTGAGGCCCACACTCAATGCAGTGTCTCTACTAGGTAATCCAGGAAGGAGGTCATGCAGTCGTCTGGGCCGGGAGGCTTCAGGGTGAGATGGTAGCCATCAAGGCCTTCCCCCCAAGGGCGGTGGCCCAGTTCCGAGCTGAGAGAGCTGTGTACCAGCTGCTAGGCCTACAGCATGACCATATTGTTCGCTTTATTGCTGCTGGCCAGGGAGGCCCTGGCCCCCTGCCCTCTGGGCCTTTGCTGGTACTGGAACTGTACCCTAAGGTGAGTACCAAGGAATATCTGTAGCCTGTACTATGCACTATGCCTATGGGGTGCTACGTGGCGATGGGGGCCTCACTCACTCATGTGTATTCTCCTGCCTCATACTTTCCTTAGAATAAAATACATATACATACATATATATATACATACATACATATATATATATATTACTGTACATTATATATTTATTATATATTATATATGCCATATAATATACATAATAAGATATATATCTCTTTTTGAGACAGTTTCTCAGTGTACCCTTGGCTATCTTGGAACTTGTGCTGTAGACTAGGCTAGCCTTGAACACACAGAGATCTCCCAAGCACTGGGATTAAGGGCATGTTCCACTCCTGCCTGGCTAAAAGTGGGCCATTGTTAAATACATATCCAGGAATAGCTTTCTAAACTCATTCCTATGTCCACTTAACCAATATTTGTAAACTATGTGGCAAGTGCTTCTAGATGCTGAGAAAAGCACACACAACGGTTCCCAGTTTTGCAGGTGTCGTAGACTAACGGGTCATAGAAAGGGATAAACACAAAAGGAAGTTGCAAATGTCAAGTGTGCTGAGGGATGGGGCGCTGGGAGCAGGAAGCAATAATGATGATAGATTAAACCCGAGGGACTGTCAATATGGTGCAGCAGCTAAAGATGCTTACTTACTGTGCAAGCCTTGAGTATCTGAGTTCAGTCTCCAGAACCCAAGTCAAGGTAGAAGGAGAGAACTCTACAAAGTTGTTGTCTTAGTCAGGGTTTCTATTCCTACACAAACATCATGACCAAGAAGCAAGTTCGGGAGGAAAGGGTTTATTCCGCTTACACTAATACATTACAGTTCGTAATGCGTATTATGAACTGGAACTCAAGCAGCTCAGGAAGCAGGAGCTGATGCAGAAGCCATGGAGGTGTGTTACTTACTGGCTTGCTTCCCCTGGCTTGCTCAGCTTGCTTTCTTATAGAACCCAGGACTACCAGCCCAGGGATAGCACCATCCACAATGGGCCCTCCCACCCTTGATCACTAACTGAGAAAACGCCTTACAGCTGGATCTCATGGAGGCATTTCCTCAAGGGAGGCTCCTTTCTCTGTGATAACTCCAGCTTGTGTCAAGTTGACACACAAAACCAGACAGTACAGTTGTCCTTTGACCACCAAAATGAACCCTGGTGTGGCCTCCCAAAGACTCCCCCTCCAGTAATAATTTTAAAAAATGTGTGTAGGTGTTTCATCTGCATATATGTCTGTGCACTGTGTGCATGCCAGGTGCCCATGAAAGTCAAGAGAGGGTATTAGTTCTCCTGGAACTTTCAGAGTAGCTGTGATATGGGTACAGGGAATTAAACTCCAGTCCTCTGGAAGAACAGCCAGTGTAACTGCTGGGCCATTTCTCTCAGTTTTAATAAAAAGAAAGGATGTATGTGCCCTGAGGTGAGAGAGTAACAACATAAAGACAAGGAAAGTTGGTTAGTAGGACTTGTCTATAATCCCTGTACTTGGGAGGCTGAAATGAGAGGACTGAGGTGAATTCCAGGTTAGCCTGAGCTACATACAACCCTGACTCAAAGAAATAAAACAGGCCTGAGTGCAGTGGGACACACTCTAAACCCCAGTGTTTGGGAGGCAGAGGCAGGCATATCTATGTAAGTTCAAGGTCAGCCAAAGTTACAAAGTAAGACAAAATAAGACAAAAGAAAGTAAGAGTGAAGAGGAAGACGTAGGCAGAGGCGGGGCCACATGGAGCCGGGGCCACATGGAGCCGGGGCCTGCTCAAGACTAGGGTGCATTTCAAACCCTAGGCGAGGTTCTAGGTGCTTTGAACATATTCTCATGCTTTATCTTCAGAAGCATACTACAAGGTAGAAATTGTACTCATAGAAAAGGAAACTCGTTTGTTCAGGGTATGGGACTTGAGAGTCTGGCTCCTCACTGAACTGCTGCTATCTCCTGTTTGTCCAGTGTCAGCACCATCTGTTCCTTCAAGTGAGATCTCCGCCTGGTGCCTTCGCCCTAATTGTACCTCAGCTCCTAACCTGCTTAAACGCAGTGGTTCTCTCCCAGGCTTCATCAACCTTTACAACTCTTTTATTGCTGAGATCTTGAGTTCTGAAAAGTCCCCCCTTCACCATGTTCTTCTTGGGCCTATTAAAAAAATAACTTTTCAGCCTGGGGATATAGCTTAGTCAATAAAGTGCTTGCTGTGCGTGAGTGCCCGAGTTCAGTTCTCAGAAATACATTTAAAAAGCCAGATTTGGGGCAGGAGAGATTGTTCAGCTGTTAGGACCACTGGCTACTCTTCCAGAGTAGTATGCTAGCTGTCACAGTTGCCTGTAACTCCAGCTCCCGGGGATGCAATGCCCCCATCTGGTCACTAGGGGGCACCTATGCGTGTGTGTGTGTGTGTGTGTGTGTGTGTGTGTGCGCGCGCGCGCGCGTGTGCGCGCACGCACACACACACACACACACACACACAAAGACACAATGCCCATACTTAAATTTTTTTAAGCTTATTTTTATTTATGGGTGCTCCTCTCTCTGTGTAGGTATGCACACATGGGCTTGGGTGCTCTGAGATTAGAGACACCCCCTGGAGCTGGAATTATGTAGGCATTTTATTGCTTGATGTGGGTCCTGAGAGTTGAACTCTGACCCACTAGAAGAGCAGTATGACACTGAGCACTGACTCACCTCTCTAGCCCAAAAGTAAAATAAATATTTGTTTGTTTGTTCGAGACAGGGTTTCTCTGTGTAGCCCTGGCTGTCCTGAAACTCACTCTGTAGACTAGGCTGGCCTCAAACTCACAGAGATCCACCTGCCTCTGCGTCCAGAGTGCTGGTATTAAAGGTATGTGCTGCCACACTTGGCTAAAAGTAAGATAAATGTAAAAAAAAAAAAAAAAAGAAAAAGAAAGAAAGAAAGAAAATAGGAGAAAGCCAGGTGTGGCGGTGCACATCTGTAATACTAAGAAAAAGGAAAAACAGAAAAAGAAGAAAAATCCAGCCATTGTGGTACCCTCTCGGGAGGTAGAAATAAAATTCTGGGCTTGCTGGCTAGGCAGCCTACCAAATGAGCTCCAGGTTAGTAAGAGAACCTGTCTCAAAAAAACATCCACAGGCATACAATTCCTTCTTGTTTGCTGAGCTTCCTCTGGCTTCCACACGTGCTGTCAGTCATGGGTGCTAGAGCCTGACATTCAGTTCATTTCTATATTGTGGCATTTATTAAATTCTCTTCTTCTATCGTGCTTCCCTTTGCCTGAGGCACAGTGTTGCCTGGGTACAACCGTGGCATACCAAAGGTGATCACCATGTTCACGAATGGCCTATTCCCAGTTGCCCCTGGAGCTCCATTGGCTCCACATGTCTGAGTAGGCCTGTTACCCCAGGTTACCCCAGGTCAGGTGATTTGAGGGACTGACACCCTTGAGCACCTTTGTCCTGAGTCCTCTGAGTCATCATATGACAGTGACTCTTAGACCGCCCGAGGTCTACTTGGATTACAACTCCATTTGTGTCTTGCTATCTGACCTCGAGAAAGCTGACTCAGCATCCGCCGACTCAGCATCCGCCGACGCTCCACCTCCAGCCAGTGTGGTAGTTTGTGCCTGTGCTGCTGGCACTCAGGAGGCAGAGGCAGGAGGATCACTGCAACCTCGAAGGCAGTCTTGTCTTCATAGTGATGTCAGCCAGGGTTGCATACATAACGGTGAGATCCTGCCTAAAAGAAGCGGGAAGGGAAGGAAGAAAAGGGCCAGTAAGGTGGTTCATGAGTAAAGGTGCTTCTACTGAGCGTGAAGGCCTGAGGCAGTCCCTGAACCTATTCTGTGAAAGGAGAAAACCAGCCGGGCGGTGGTGGCGCTTGCCTTTAATCCCAGCACTTGGGAGGCAGAGCCAGGCGGATTTCTGAGTTCGAGAGTTCGAGGCTAGAATGGTCTACAGAGTGAGTTCCAGGACAGCCAGGGCTATACAGAGAAACCCTGTCTCGAAAAAAGAAAAAAAAAAGAAAGGAGAAAACCAACTCTAGTAAATTGTCTTTTGACCTCCACACGTGCCATGTACCATGTGGGTACCCACATACCCAGACACAGATAAATAAGTGTACTAATTTTTTTGAATAAAGGAAGGAAAGAAAAAAAAAGAAAAAGAAAAGCCCTACAAAAATCAGGGTTCTAAGCTGAGCGGTGGTGGCGTACGCCTTTAATCCCAGCACTTGGGAGGCAGAGACAGGTGGATTTCTCAGTTCGAGGCCAGCCTGGTTTACAGAGTGAGTTCCAGGACAGCCAGAGATACACAGAGAAACCCTGTCTTGAAAAACCAAAAAAAAAAAAAAAAAAAGTCAGCGTTGTCAGAATGCCTTCACGTTGGGGTCCTCATGAGGTCTATAGGAGACCCTGTTCTAAGGGTCACAGTAAGTACCCAGTACTACTGAATTAAGCTACTTTTCCCCCATGTCAGGCCTTAACTAAAATTATAGTTTGTGTGTGTGTGTGAGTATGTGCGTATGTGTGTGTGTGCGCGCGCACGCGCGCCCTAGCATGCATGCGCTCTACTGACTTGTTCCTGATCCCCTTCCTTTCACTTCCCAAGTGCTGGGGTGGCAGGCACGCAGTACCACACCCAACCAGAGTTACTATTTTTGCTGTCACTTTGATGATGCTTCCACTGTCTGTAGTGTCTTGACCTGGTTCTGTCATGGTGTCTCTGTCTGCTGGGGAGGTGCGGCTGGTGTGTGTGGGGTCTCTCAGTCGCTCTCTGCTCCCTGGAATGATCTGTGTGCCCTGCTCCTCCCTCTGCTTTTCTCCAGGGCTCCTTATGCCACTACTTGACTCAGTACACGAGCGACTGGGGAAGTTCCTTGAGGATGGCTCTGTCCCTGGCTGAGGGCCTGGCGTTTCTCCATGAGGAGCGATGGCAGGATGGTGAGTATCTCGAAACAGGGAGGGAGGCGTCAGTAGCCGCACCGATGAGTCCAGTTCTCCCTCCGCTTAGGGGAGAAGGACTGCACCAAGCAGAACCGCATGACCTTTGCCCACAGGCCAGTACAAACCAGGTATCGCTCACCGAGACCTGAGCAGCCAAAATGTGCTCATTCGGGAAGACAGGTCATGTGCCATCGGAGACCTGGGCCTTGCCTTGGTGCTCCCTGGCCTTGCTCAGCCCCCTGCCTTGGCACCTACGCAACCTCGAGGCCCAGCTGCCATTTTGGAGGTGAGTGCTTTTTGATAAGTGTGAGACCTGAGATGACAATGGCTCTGATGACCTCATACCATTGCTGGAATGGGGGAATGTCTGGACCAGAGCTGCGAGACAGGTTGCCATAGAGGTGATTCCTGGTACTCCACGTCTTCTCCCAGGCTGGCACCCAGAGGTACATGGCTCCAGAGCTTTTGGACAAGACTCTAGACCTGCAGGACTGGGGCACAGCTCTCCAGAGAGCAGATGTTTACTCTCTGGCGCTACTTCTGTGGGAGATCCTGAGCCGCTGTTCCGATTTGAGGCCTGGTAAAGTCTCCGCCCCAGAGTCCCACCTACCAAATGCTCACACGCCTTCCGTCCTATTCCGGAAGGCTATGACCTTCCCCAGTTTTACCACCTAGGAGTCTCCTCACCAGCGCAGATTAACAGTTTATGTCTATACTTTTCCCAGACCAAAGACCGCCACCTTTTCAGTTGGCTTATGAGGCAGAACTGGGCAGCAATCCCAGTGCCTGTGACCTCTGGGCCCTGGCGGTGGAGGAGAGGAAGCGCCCCAACATTCCATCCACTTGGAGCTGCTCTGCCACAGTAAGAAGCCACAGGCTTGCTAGCTGGGGACCGGGAGCAGGGGCTGAGTATGGATTTCAAGGACTTCTCTGCTACAACCAGACCTTCTCCTCCTATCCTGGGCCTCAGTTTACCTTTTCTTCTACAAGTCTCACACAATTGGTTCCGCCCACCCAAGACACACACCTTCCTGTGGAGCCTTTTTATTCCTATCCCCTTACTCCACAGTTAGCTCTGTCCTTCAGACATCTCCTCCAGGAAGTCCTCTCTGACTTTTCTCTTACTCGGAGCTCAGCCCCTCTTTGATAGTGGCTCTTCAGGTACAGTGTACCCCAAAGTTAAAACCAGTACCCCATCAGTTTGTACTATGCAGCTGTGTTTGTGCTGTGGACCAATTAAAGCTAGCGCTAGGTATAACAAGGTCAGAAGGGTCGTTTGATAGTGAAAGCCCGGATCTCTTCACAAATGGTTTCCTGAGGTGTCCCTTCTCCCACTTTCCTGCCTGACATTTCTACCATACTAGTATCTGTTGGGTTGGCTAATGGAAGCTACACAGTGGGTGACTAAGAGAACGAAGAGTAACTTTCCATTGGCACGTAAGTTGTCAGCCTGGATTATCCTTCAAGGAAAAGGTAGACCCTTTGGAAGATATCCAAGGACTCTATCACAGGGAACAAACTTAAGGGGCTTGACTTTAGGGGATGGGGCTCAGAGGTGATCCACAAATGGGGTGTGAAGTCAGGAGTGGTGGGGCATGCTAGGATCCTAGCAAGGACTCCGTGCATAATGGGATGGAGTACGTGGGAGAAGCGAAGACTGGAGATGTCTACTCTGGGGTTGGCCAGGCCCACCATCTAGTCTTTCCCTCCAGGACCCCAGGGGGCTGAGGGAGCTCCTGGAAGATTGCTGGGACGCAGACCCAGAAGCACGGCTGACAGCTGAGTGTGTGCAGCAGCGCCTGGCAGCCCTGGCTTACCCTCAGGTGGCTTCCTCCTTCCCAGAGAGGTATCCTGAGAACTGCCCTGCAGCACTGCAGCACTGCTCTGGGGCTCTCCCCTGCAGGCCTCAGCAGAGTTCTTGTCTCCTCAGTGTTCAGCAAGGCCCTGGCTCTAGGAGTCCTGAGCCTGTAGGTGCCACTGTTTAGGTGTATGTAGATGAGCAGCCTGTATGAACTAGTTATACAGGCCGACATACGTGTGGCCGACATGCACATGGCCGGCATGTGTGTGGCGAGATTGCATGCCTGTTGCTGTCACTCTCTGTGGGTTCTAACCCACAGGGTAGATACACTCAGGAAAGAGAATAAAGCAAGATTCCCACTCACTCTTCCTTTCCACCTGTGTGTATTTACTTCTTTTTAAAGGCCTATTCATTTTATTCATAGTACGTGTGTTTCTCCCTGAGTTTGTGTGTGCCACATACGTGCAGGAGGTGTTGGAGGGCAGAAGAAGATCTCAAAGCCCCTGGAACTAGAGTCACAAGCAGTTGTAAGGCACCCTGTGGGTGGGTGCTGAGAACAGGTCCTTTGCAAGGGCAGTAACTGCTCTGAGCTCCTAAGCCATCTCTTTAGCCCTTTATTTATTTATTTTTGAGGCAGGGTCTTACTGTGTAGCCTTGGCTGACCTATACCTACTACTCAGTATATAGCCCAGGCTAGTCTCAGACTTGCAACAATCCTCTTGCCTTAGCATCTTGAGCAATGCTTGAGACACTAGCATTTTTTTGTTTTTGTTTTTGTTCTTCGAGACAGGGTTTCTCTGTGTAGCCCTGGCTGTCCTGGAACTCACTCTGTAGACCAGGCTGGCCTCGAACTCTCGAGCTCAGAAATCCGCCTGCCTTTGCCTCCAAAGTGCTGGGATTAAAGGCGTGAGCCACCACCGCCCGGCCCAACATTTATTTTTGAAGATTTTATTTGTATCATTTTAACTCTTTCACTCTTACACAGTGTGTGTGTGTGTGTGTGTGTGTGTGTGTGTGTGTGTTCGCGCGAGTGCTGTACATATGGTCTCAGATGCCTGCAGAGACCAAAGTCATTGGATACCCCTGGAGTTGGAGTTTTAAGCCACTTGAAAGAGATGCTGAATACTGAACTCTGGTCCTCTGGAACAGCAATGTATGCTTTTAAATCTCTAAGCCATCTCTCTAGGACCACCAGGATTAATTTTCACATGGTAGCATCACCTGCTGAGCACTGGAGTAGTGGTCACAATGAAGCCATTGTCCTGAGGCCATTTAGATAAACATCACTTTCTTTGTTTATTAAGAAACAAGTGTTGTTGCCATTAGAAGTGATGTTTATGGGGCCTAGAGAGATGGCTCAGCAGTTAAGAGCAGTACTTGCATTTCCAGAAGACTCAGATTTAATTTTCAGCATCCACAAGGCAGCTCACAACTGTCTATAACTCCAGTCTTGGTAGTCTGATGCCCTCTTCTGGCTTCTGACCGTACTGCATGCACATGATGCACAAGCCATACATGCAGCCAAAACACCCATACATATAGAATGCAATATTTTTTAAGTGATATTTACGGGTTGGGTATATAGCTCAGTTGCAGACACTTGCTTCACATGTTTTGAACTCCATCTGTTAGAACTACATGTACTGAAGTGCATATTTGTAATCTTCATCTTTTACAAAAGTTCTGAGGGCTGGAGAGATGGCTCAGTGGTTAAGAGCACTGACTGCACTTCCAGAGGTTCTGAGTTCAAATCCCAGCAACCACATGGTGGCTCACAATCAGATCTGTAATGAGATCTGATGCCCTCTTCTGGTGTGTCTGAAGACAGCTACAGTGTACTCATATATAATAAATAAATAAATCTTTAAAAAAGTTCTGAGAGTTGTGGCTTGCTCTTGTTATTCTAGCACCTGAAAGAGGCAAACATGGGATGATTGCTTTTCATCCAAGGTCAACCTGAGTCATACAGGAGGACTCTGTCTCAAAACAACAAAACTGAAAGTGAACTTCCTTATTTACCCAGAACGATGCCATGAAACAGCATCTGCTGAACACATAGAGACCCCCTCTCTTATCTATCTTTCTACAAAAAAGAACCACAGGGTGTGGTTCTAGAAGCTGGCAGCATTGAAGTATGGAGCTAGGACTTCCTCCTTTTGTTCTCTGAGGTCTTTTTGTTTTTTCCAGATAGAGGCAGAGTTTCTCTGTGTGACTCTGGCTGTCCTGGAACGCACTATATAGACCAGGCTGGCCTCAAACCCGAGATTCACCTGCCTCTGCCTTCTGAGTGTAGGGATTAAAGACGTGTGTCACCAGCACAGGGCTCTCTCTGAGGTCTCATGCAGGGTTGGCTGGCCTCAAATTCCCTAAGAAGCTAACATATTCCTTGAATTCTGATTCTCCTCCTCCACTTCCCAAGTGCTAGGTTACAGACAAGGCTACCTTAAAACCACCACCACCAACAAAACCCCACCTAATTGTACTCACCGACCTGTAACCTCAAACCAATGCTAGGGACTGGAGAGATGGCATTTGCTTCTCATGCACAGTGAGTTCAGTCCCCAGCATCCACATGACCTCTCACAACCATCAGCAACTCTGATTCCAGGGCGGTTGATGACCTCCGCTGGCATCAGGCAGGCATTTGATGCACATATATTGAGGCAAAAACACTCATACACGTTAAAAAAAATCTTAAAATTTAAACAAAACAAAACAAAACATTGAGAGTTTATCTCGTGGGCTCGGGGTCCTTTGCTTGGAGCTGGCCCTGCCCTAGTTCCGCCCTCCGGAGCATTTCCACTGTGTCTGCATTTCACCTGTATGTATTTCACAACGCAAAGCTATCTCTAAAAGGCTCCGCCTGGCGGCCAGCGCAACCGTTTCCTCCTCGTTTAGTTGGACCACAGCGATTGACAAGTCAATTCTCCAATCATCATGCCGAGTGACCAGCTAATTATCAACTAGGTCACAGGGGCGGTGCGGAAGCATAGAATGAATAGGGGTGATCAGGAAGTGCGAACCCAGATTGGAAGAAGGACAGAACCAGGACCGGCGATCTTGGGAAGGTGACAGGGTATCTGGCCTCTCAAATTCCTCTTTCCTGTTAGCTGGGCCAGGGATCCATCATTTATACCTGAGAACTAGGAACTCCATTTTCTCTCTCTCTCTCTCTCTCTCTCTCTCTCTCTCTCTCTCTCTCTCT